CGATTCCATTGTATTCCGGACATATTGTAATTGATGGAGATCTCATTGTTATCTTCTGAACCTGGAGATTCGGCGTCCCGAACTTCCATTGAGGGTTCATTAGATTGAGTCTCAGCCGCGGCTATGTCTGATATTGCAGGAATCCCGGTTTCGGTTATTGCACCTTTCTTGATTTCCGGGGATTCTTATCTTTGGAACCGAGAGGTCTGCCCCGTTTGAGACGTGGTGCAGACTCTGTAGCAACTTGGGTCTGTCCCGTTGGGACAGCTATTCGTACTGGTGCATTACAAGCTGGGATGTACGATTTGGTTACTTTGGTCGGGTCAGCAAAGGAATCTGGCAATTGATTAGCTAGCTTTTGATAATGAATAATCTTTTGGATCTCTGAATCACATTCTAGAGTCCGAGGATCTTGCCAATTTAATGATGTTTGATTCCATGAAAGATCTTTGACCAGCTTGTTTGTCTCACCACCTAAAGAGGGATATACCGATTCATCGAATTGGCAATCCGCATATCTGGCCTTGAAGAGATCTCCAGTGGTTGGCTCGAGATATCTTATGATGGTGGGAGAGTCAAAACCAACATATATTCCCATCCTTCTTTGAGGTCCCATTTTGGTTCGATGTGGTGGAGCAATGGGTACATATACTGAACACCCAAATGTTTTGAGATGGGAGATGTCTGGCTCATGACCCGAGAGTAGTTGGGATGGGGAATATTTGTGTTCACTAGATGGCCGGATGCGTATGAGTTCAGCAGCATGTAATACTGCATGTCCCCATGCTGAGGCCGGGAGCTTTGATCTCATGAGTAATGGTCGGGCTATCCATTGAATGCGTTTAATGAATGATTCAGCCAATCTATTTTGAGTATGGACATGTGCTACAGGATGTTCCACGGTTACCCCCATGGCCATACAGTAGTCATTAAACGCTTGTGAGGTAAATTCACCAGCATTGTCAAGGCGGATAGTCTTTAGTGGGAAGTCAGGGAAATGGGCCCGCAATTTGATGATTTGGGCCAAGAACCTAGCGAAAGCTTGGTTCCGAGAGGACAAGAGACAAACATATGACCAACGGGTCGATGCGTCTATAAGGACCATGAAGTACCGGAATGGTCCGGAAGATGGATGTATAGGTCCACAGATATCGCCCTGGATTCTTTCTAGGAAATGAAGTGTTTGTTTAGAGATTTTAACTGGTGAAGGCCGAGTGATCAATTTGCCTTGAGAACAAGCTGTGCACATGAGGTGTTGAGGATAAGCTCGGTTTTCTTTGAGGGTATGCCCTTGAGAGTTTTGAATTAGTTTACGCATCATATTTGCACCGGGATGACCGAGCCGGTCGTGCCAAATAGTATAATCAGTAAACCGGGCTTTGAGAGTGGTATTAGCTTCAATCATACTGACTTTAGCATGGTAAAGTCCAGTAGAGAGCGCGGGTATGGTTTCGAGGATTTGTTTATGGCCGTCTACGGTTTTAGTGACTAGGAGGGATTCTTTGTTCCCTTGACCTTGGGTTTCTATGTGGAAACCATTCTGTCTTATATCCTTGAAGCTCAGAAGATTTCTCTTCGAACTAGGAGAATATAGAGCATCTGGTATTTCAAGTTGTGTGCCATTTGATAGCAACACATAGGCATGGCCATATCCTTCGATAAGGTTTGAGGGACCCGCGATGGTGCTAATATTTGCGGTTTGATAGGTTAGGTTTATGAAGTAACTTTTGTTTCTTAAGATAGTGTGGCTGGATCCACTATCTACGACTATGGTTTCCATTTGCTGGTGTGCTTTTCCACCTTTGGATTTCTGACAGGCTAATGAAACTGGGAGCTAATAGACCTCAGTTAGCCGCTACAAGATTCCAAGGATTTATCACCAAAACTGGAGAAGCTGCTGGTTGAAGAGGGAAAAACTCGGATCTGGTTTTTTTTTTTTCGGTTGATCGTCGTGTACTGTAAGTGTGCGTGAGGGCGCGTCCGACGTTGGATCGACAAACGGTTTTTACCAGTAGATTCGTCTCGTCGAGGACTTCGATTTGATATGTAGATCGTCTTCTGGTTCCTCACGGTTTGGAAGATATCCGTCTTTTAAGTTTCGACTTGCTTTTAGGGTTTTGGTGGTGGCCGGATTTATTAGGGTTTTTCGCTCAGAGAGTCTTATCGTGCTGATAACGTGTTGTGAAAACTTAAAAACTTTATTAATCACTGGAATGTATATATAGAGTACATAGGGAATCTAGGTTAAGTACAATGCCCTGATGGGCCTAATGGGCCGGTATAAGAGTCCATATATGATATGTGTTATAACAAAATTATAATAGTTTCAAATTTGCAATCATAAATTAAATATTAGTAATCCAAATGTATATAAATTATTTTTTCATATTCATAAGTTTAAATTTATGGTTTCACTGGGTAGTTCAATCACTTACTAAAAAGCATTTCTAATCCAAAAAATAAAAAATACTTTATAAATTTGCCTAAAACGCGTTTTTAAAAAAACTGCAATAAGTAGTCTTCTACAGCAGACTTCAAACGTAGACTGGAGGAGAAGTCATATTTTTTCATAGTGAAGTCTACTAAAGAAGTCTACTAAAAAACAGGTTATTTTTGCAATTGACCAATCCGTTGACTTTTCCTTCAGTAGACTTCAGAAGTAGACTTCCAGCCAAAAAGGTTACTTTAGCATTTGACCGATGCATTGACTAACAAAGTAGACTTCTATTGTAGACTTCATGTAAAAGTAGACTTCTATTGTAGACTTCATGTAAAAGTAGACTTCTCTGACAGTCTACTTTTGAAGTCTACTTTTTCAATAGATGTCTACGGAAGAAAATAGGTTATTTTTGCAATTGATTTTTTTTGAATAGACTTCATTGTGAAGTCTACTCAAAAGTAGACTTCACAATGAACTTAGATTCCTTCTAAGTTTGACCGAAAAATATAAGTAGACTTCTTTGGGAAGTCTACTGAAGTTTTTCGGAATTTTTTGAATTTTTTATTTTTTAAAAAACCGTAGTCAAACACTAAAATGACCTATACGTTTTTGGTCAAACTACAAAAGTAACTTAAACATAGACTTCGTATGCAGACGTAAACAGTCAAAATATGGTCAACTACAAAAATAACCTCTTTTCTTTCGTAGACTTCTTATGCTTTCAAACGAAGTCTACTAGGCTTTTTTTTGTTTTCAAAGGATATCGAGTAGAATTCTCGTGCAGTTTAATAAAGTCTACTTTTAAGAAGTCAATTGCAAAAACAATCTTATGTTGACTAGTAGACTTCATTTTGAAGTCTAATTTCGCGATACAGATATAGATATTACCAAAATTGAAGTGTATCATTACCTATATCGGTTTTGAGTTTGTTTTTAGGTCTCTCATGCACCCACAACTCTGAATTTGACCCAAAAAAAAAAAAACCCAGGTCTTGATTAAGTTGAAATCCCAAAAATGCATAACTTTTGACATTGTAACTCAGCCCAGAAATTTTAGAGAATAAATTAGGAAAGAATATAGAAGGTTATGAGTGTATGAGCTCTCATATTAACTTATTACAACTTTAAAATTGGTTGAGAAGCATTTATTCTATTTTTGGGGTTGTTCATGGTGGTTGAAGGTATTGAAGAAAATGACATTATTGTAATAAAAAAGGTTTTAGGAGGTTCAAGGAGACTTTAACCAATATTTAAAAAAATCGAAATAATAGATTTATAATGGAAATTTCGTTAATATCTTGAGTGAGAAGGATAGAATTGTGAAAAATGGAAAAGTTGGAGAGAGAAAAAAAGAGGTTAGTTTGGTGTTTGACTTTAAAATTCAGGTTAAATCTGAAACTCTCCCGTTATTTTAAGATCATTTTAAAAATAACAGTAACATAGTTTCATAAGTCTAAGTTCACTGACCAATAGAAATAAATACGACATAAAAAACAAACAGTATATAACAATCGACTATTCTCATAGAATGGCATGATCCATCCACAATACTCATCTACAACATTATTAAAATCATCTGTGTCCAACCTGAAATAATTTAATAAAATATTTATTATTAAACAATATCTAACGAAATGTTTCTCATAAACAGGAAAATTTAAAAAGTGCAACAATTCTATCACCCTAGAAGAAATAGCAAATACCAAATCAGAAAATGAGATTTGAAATTATCTGAAATAAATGTAATGTTTATATAACCAAAAATTGTAATATATAAATTTAGTGATTGAAGAACTTACATGTTCGTCTGCCTAGACCATTGTTGTTTTATATTCTCTCGAATCATTTTCTTCAACAATTATCTTAATGATTTGAATGCATATGCTGCATCCTTCAGATGATAAGGTGATTTCAGATATTCTTTCGCATGGAGACATTTTTCCCTAGAGAATACAAAATCCAAAAACGAAAATGGATATGTTAACAAAGAGTTTTTTTATTTTTCACAATATATATATATATATATATATATTTTTTGTAAGTAACGGTTAAACAATTAGGATGTTACGTTATTTAAAAGTACCGTTTAATCAGTCACCACATGATTATAATATATAAAAATATTAACCATAATGGCCATACGTAAAATTTCAATACAATTATATCCTTCAGTAATTATGCAGTTAATCATTCATGTATGAAATAATGTTATATCAATATTGTTTAAATAGTAATTAATTTATATGTAGATAAACAATTTGATTAATAATATAAGTGTTGATTTCAACTACTAATATTTTATACTTATTGTATTTGATGCAGATGGATTAAAAATGTATAATATGTGCCTAACAAACATATTATGCCAAACCAAACAATATTTTATTAATACTTCAACTTCTACAAACAAATAAACTAAGCATAAAAGAATAAATATCCGAATGCTCAAAATATTAAAACCAAATAATGGAAAATAGAAAGTTATTCAATAAAACATTAAATAATAACAAATTCATAAACTGCAGAATATATGAGATCACATCTTCCCATTTTTGCCTCACTATTTGCCAACAGCTTTACCACCACCACGTCCTCTAGTTCGTCCCTTTGCAACACCTTCATTGGATTCACTTGTAAGAAGAACGTTCACTAAAACATCATCACTCTTCAGTGTATTCTCATCAATTACTTCATTCGCATATGTCGTTTCCACACTACTCACACTATTAAATGACTTCTTAGACGACAAGGATGAGTCGATTGAATCTTTAGGATTATCTCGCTCACGCTTTAATAAAGGATTTTTGATATTGCCAAAAACATCATCCAAAGACTCTTGGCTATGTGTGTTCATCAGTGATGCCTATAAATAAAAGATTTTCAAGATATAGTATTGTCCCAAAAATATAAAAAAATCCATTCACATGATATGAATTTTACCTGATTGCCAGATATGAGTAAACTCTGATCACCCTCATCTTCAGATTCATTCACCTCATCAAAGGTGGTAGTCAAAACCTGATTGCCTTTCCAAACCTTTCCGACCTTGTATGTATTACTACCACCGTAGAGATTTTCTTTCTTAACACAAATTAGAAACTGAAAAGTCTTCCCAACCTAGTTTTGCAGTGCATCAGAAACGACATCCGGATCTTGTATCTATGTTGAAAAATACTAAGTATTTAGGAAATGATTTTTAATATAAAACTTATTGAAATAAACACATAAGTGTAGAATACCTCATTGTATGTCCCTTTTTAAATTTCATCCGCAGATTGGTTAACAATATCCTTTGCATTTGAATCAAAAAGAAAACATTTGATCTTGCTAGTGTTATCCATGACACAAAGATGGAGTTTGTATCTACAATATAATTTAAATGTAAACATGTGATTATATATTTTTGGCACACAATTTGTTATTTAGTAATTTATAAAATTTATCTACCTCGCATTGACAGATGAAACTTTGGCATCACATGTTTCACATGAATAAAGCTTCTTATTTTTATCAGAAAATTTCTCGTCTTCACGTTTTGGGATTTTGTAGACATTTTTCCCACACTTAGTGCAAACCAAGTAAAACCATGACCAATCTGTATCAACCGCGTATAGAGTACACATGATTTTACATTTTCCAACCTGAATATTTAACAATAGAACAGTCACCATAATTGCATAAAATCTATTAATAAATTAACATATAAAAGTTAAGGTTTGAGTTATACTTTTAGTTTAATCGATACCATATATAAATTTTTATATGCTTTAAGTATTTTATTTTATTAGTTTTATATTAAAAAATTATTTCCCAAAGACATATCATCTTATCAACATATAATAAAGTTATGACAACTTTTATATATACCTCCAGATAATCTTTCAGTTCAGCAATAACCACCATTGGAAACTGATCAAAATTACTCTCATCATCATAAGAAATCCTTTGATGTGGCTTGCTACTCAAGAAAGTAATATTTCCGCCATTTGCAGGTAAACTTCAAATTGGAAAACAATTCTTATTAATAATCACATTGTCAAAATATGTGTGTGATATATAAATACACTGTTTACCTATTTTTGAAGTCAATGACATCTGGATCGTTAAGATCTATGAGAACCTTAGAGGTTTGGAAAGAACTGGTAATTTGACGTTCACCTATGATAATTTAAACAAATAATCAAAATGCATTTTAATTTATGTTGAAACAACAATTTTGCAATTAAATATTTTTACCTCTAAACACATTGATTTTCCAAAAACGGATTACAATGATGACACCACGTTCACCAGCATTCTAACAAGCCGAATACACTTGCTTGCCAAATATACCCCAAAGTGTGAATGGTAAGCGCTCTTCTCTATATATAATACGATTCAATTATATTAGAGTAAATATTTAAAATGATAAAAAACGTTAACCGTATATACTCACTTTTTATTACACAAGTCGAATTCAAGCTTGCTGGTGTCCTTGTACATAACCGGGATTGTTTTCAGTTCACGTACACTTTCAACTCGTCCAATAACATCTGGTATTTTGAAAAATGACATCAGATGAATACGTATATAAATGTAATAAACTAACTATATAGATAAGTAAAAAAACTCACCAATCAAAAAACTTGTACTGGTTGCATCGTTCAAGATTGTACCAAATCTAAGAACTCAAAAAACCGACTGTCAGATCGATTAGCACTTTTGCTGACAACGGTGGATGCAATGAAGGACATCTTGAATTGATGCCTTGTGGCCCGGTATTGACCTGACGCCTGGTTCAATGCAAAGTTCTCGATGAGATTCCATTCACCGACAACCATCATCCGCTCAAAACGATGCAACAGGTTTTTCTTGACAGTAGCTGTAAATAAAAAAAATGTTTATAAGTAAACCATTAATAGTTAGTAAAACAAAAATGTAATTTCAAATCCATTTGATCATACCATTTCATCTGCGAAATGATTTCCAAAGACTCTCCACTCTTAGTCTGGTATTTCTTCCAAGTGTGAAGCACATTCACCTGCACCTTCCACCCAGTCTTGAATAGCTTTAAGTCAGCCAAATGTACTAACCTCATGTTGGAAGTCATTGTGCAGTGAACTTAAAGTTAAGAAAGTTATAGTTGATGTGGAGTGAAATGGAATACGGTAGTGTCGTATTTATAGTGAAACAATATAGAGTTTTTGCAATACTGTTGAGTTGTATGTAAATTGGCGGCCAAGTATATTTTTTTTTTCAATTCAAATTGAACACAATATTGATTTGGAAATAGCGAATCCTATTTTTTTTGTAAAGTAGTTGTTATTGAGTATCTATACGGTTATGCAAAATAAATGGGATAATATTCAATAACAAACTATTAGCATATTCTCATCGATCGATTGACATTTAGCAATAGCTCAGAATAAAATTTGAGGATTTTGTTGAATGCCGTTAAGAGGTAAGATATATTGGCGGCAAAGTATAATTGTTCAAATTAAATTAAATACAATATTATGGCAAATAGGCAAATACGTCATTTTTGGAAGTTGTTATTGTTGTGTTAATATTTGGGTATGCGAAAAAAATGATTTGAAGATTTGAAGATTTTCTTTTATATTTTGAATTCAAGAGTCTTTCATGCGCTTTAATTAATATGTAATCATATTTATTACGATATCTATTTCATTTCTCCCAATTATTAGGAGCTAAATATTTCAAAAATATTACATCTTAAATAATCATTAATTTCCTAAAATACAAAACATGTTAAATTTTAGGATCCACGTCCTTTTAAACGGGTCATTTTAAAAGGATGCGGATCCTCTTTGGTTTCAGTTTTTTTGTTCTGTTTATGGAATATATTTTTTTATAATGGCATTTATTGTAATATACCACGTAACACCGAGGTCAAAGATTTAAATGTATTTTTCCTATTATAAGATATTAACATGGATTAATATTAATTTTTTGGCAAACTAATACTTTGAAAATAATACGAACTAGTATTTTTTGTGAAAAGCTCAATTTAGCTACAAGTATAACGATCTTTGTATACTAATACACTTTATGGTATATGAATATAGATATGCTTACTGATACACATTCATATCTATAATTAAGGATAAAATTGTATGTTTCATTTCTCAGTGAAAACTGAAAATTTGTGATGTGCTCAAAATAAAGAGGTGCTAATTGGGGTAGGAAAAAAAACGTACTAGTATTATTGGACAAACAAATATGCTCACTTGAATTATTTATTTGCCCATTTGATTACAGTGGTCCTCCTGCGTCTTCCATGGACCACAAATTTTTGGACCTCCCTGAAAGGGGACCATGTATTTAGATTTGACTTCAAAGATTTCCTTCAAAAAATAGAACCACTAGTCTCTTCTCTTAGGTTCCTCTACATGGCTATAAGCTATCTATATAATACTGCACTACCATTTCTTATTTTTCACCTCCATGGCCATGAATTATCCTTACGATGACTTCCTCGATCTCTTCTTCTCTAACAACAAAGCCGCAACCGCAAGCACTTCCTCCTGTGTGGAACAGAATGATGGATCTCTTGACATGGACTGGGATGTTGACTTCCGCGATCTCATTGAATCCATGATGAGTGATGAAGGAGCTCCGACGGAATCTCCTCCAACAATTCCTTGTGACCATGGCCAAGAGGGAATTTGTAACTCTGCGTCCACGGGTTTTTCCGTCGCTGATGGGGTTGATGATGCCGAGGAGCCTAATCCTGATGAATCAAAGGGCTTGAGGTTGGTTCACTTACTGGTGGCTGCTGCAGAGGCATCAACTGGTTTAGATAAAACCCGAGAGCTGACTCGGGTAATACTTGCAAGGCTTAAGGAGTTGGTTTCTCCCAGTGACCGAACCAACATGGAGAGATTAGCAGATCACTTCACCGATGGCCTTTCAAAGTTGCTGGAACGAGCTAATGTTCAGCGGCACAGCAGTCCCCACCAACACCGTGATGTTCATCATCAGGTGGATGTGTTATCAGCGATCCAAATGCTGCAAAACATGTCTCCGTACGTCAACTTCGGTTACTTTACCGCCTCACAGGCTATTCTTGAAGCTGTCAAGTATGAGCGGCGAATCCATATTTTAGACTACGATATTACAGAAGGTGTTCAATGGGCCTCATTGATGCAGGCCTTGGTATGTAAAAATACAGGCCCATTAACCCAACATCTTAGAATTACCGCTTTGTCACGAGCCACCAATGGTAAGAAATCCATTGCTGCTGTCCAAGAGGCTGGACGGCGTCTAACCGCATTTGCAGAGTCGATCGGCCAGCCATTTTCATACCACCACTGTAAACTCGACACTGACGCATTCAGCGCTTCGTCGTTAAAACTTGTGAGAGGAGAAGCAGTGATTATCAATTGTATGTTGCATCTCCCTCGGTTTAGCCACCAAACACCTAATTCTCTCATTTCATTTCTAACCGAGGCTAAAACTCTAAATCCAAAACTGGTAACACTCGTTCACGAGGAAGTTTGTCTAATGGGAAACCAAAGCTACCTCTATCGGTTTATGGACTTGCTACATCAATTCTCAGCCATATTCGACTCTCTTGAGGCAGGCCCGACCCGTGCCTTTGTTGAACGTGTTTTCATTGGGCCGTGGGTTTCAAGTTGGTTGACGCGTATAGCTATTACCGCTGATGACGTGGAATTCGAGTGTTTTGCTTCGTGGAAAGGGTGGTTAGAAACTAATGGGTTCAAACCGGTGGATGTTAGTTTTGCCAACCGTTGTCAAGCAAAGCTCCTCTTAAGCTTGTTTAACGATGGGTATAGAGTTGAAGAATTGGGCCAAAACGGATTAGTTTTAGGATGGAAGTCTCGGCGTCTTGTGTCAGCCTCTTTTTGGGCCTCGCGTGATTCTTCGAATCAGTAAAATTTTCATTTTCTTGCATTCTCTAGATAGCACATACATGTAACAAAGGTTTTTGAAAACATCAATATTTTTTTTATAAAGATATTACGTATGTAAATATCGAACTTCTAAAATAACATGAAACGACATCAATATAATATATATGTATATATTAGGTTTCACGTAATACGCAAATAAATTATCTATTATATTATTTGCAAAGTGAACCTGTGGTTCAAAATTCAGATTTTGATGTTGTTTTGATTAATAAAATCCTTATGTTCTGATTGGTCAACTAATATTATATTTTGATTGGTTGGTGTTAGTTGATTATTATTAATCTTTTACTATTAAAAGAAAAGTACACTTAGTAATTGACCTTGGTTTTACGTGGTATATAACAAAATATGCCATTAGAAAAATCCTATACAATTCGTACAAAAAAATATTTACACGAACAAACAAAAAGTAAAACCAAAGAGGATCTGTGTCATTTTGTTTTACCCATTTAAAAAGACGTGGATCCTACTTTGACCCGAAACGATATTGATTCTTGCGTTTTGGTATAAAGGAATTGTTATCTATAAAAATTAAAAATATACTGCAAAAATCGGATCCAAAAGAATATCTTATATAACACGTTTCCAGAGATATCTTCATTGATTGAAATTTATTAGTATATATTCTTATCGATAGTAGTCAATAGCGCATTTTTCGCCAAAACCTTTTTCAAAGATTGTCTACATTTTCCCAGATATATGAGAATGCTTCGATAGTTTGAATTTGAATTACCTTATATTCCCTCGCCATATGTAATATTGACTTACACCAACCTAAATCTATTATGTACATTTTAGTAAACTTGATTTTAAAGTATTTTATTTATAATTATTCAAACGACTATATAGACCTGCCAAAACTACATCACTAAAAAAATCCTTGCTTTGTAGAAGCATATACCATATTTGAATCGTATGTATTACATAGGAAAATATAGCCGCCATATTTAAATTTAATGTATACTCTAAACCCTAAATGGAAAACTATATATAAAGGATTAGTAGTCATTCGAGTTGTACCACCGCATCCTTATGTCACATCCAAAACAGTAAGTGACAGCAACTATTTTGATTTTGCAGATTTTTGTTCCATTTTGAATGGTGGACTCAATACAAGCATCTTGGTTGGTAAGAACATTAATACTTCTATTCAAGCATACATATGGAGAAGTATATTTAAAAAAATATATTTTTTTTTTCTATGCAGAGGTTATTGGTAAGTTGTGTCCACCCGTGAGATTAAAATAATTCAAGTCATGAACAAGGACAAAGTATATTTGCACTGTTTATGATAAGGAATGCAAAGTATGTACATACTTCATGTACCTACTAACATATTTGTTATTTTCTTATTATATATCTATTGTTATTTTCTTATAGTGATGTTTATTTTATTTACTTTAAATATTGTCTGACCAGAATTTTGAGCATTTTCCAACGGTTACAATATCAGAGTAGTTTGATTATCTTGAGGTAAAAGCTATAGTATGTTTGTTGGATGTGCAAATTGGTTTTTACTAATTTTAATATGTGTAATATGTACAGATTGGTCTTGGTTTTATCTGGTCTGTAATAAATGTGGCAGAAAGGTGTACAAGATTCCTAAGAAGGACGATCAGATAAAAAAAGTCTGGGAGTAAAACTCAATACTCATGTGAAACTTGTGACGCAAAAGTTTATTCTGTGTCTGCTAGGTACTTCTTTAAATATTTATTTTTCTCTACAATTTAAATTATATTTGTAAATGACATACCTACATATTTTAATCAACTAAATGTGCTAAGTACAAGCTTCAGCTATGCGTTATGGACAATACTGCAAAGATCAAATGTTTTTTGTTTAACTCTTTAGCTGAAGATGTTTTACATCAAACAGCCGATGAAGTACTTCATGGAAAATTCGATGAGGTGAGTTTGCTATTTTAGCATATAATGAATTTATTTATCATATTTCAGTGTGTGTCGTCCTATTAACATTTTTCACTGTAGATTCAAGATCCGGATGCAGTTCCTGAAGCCTTAAAAAATGTGTTTGGAAAGACTTTCTAGTTTCTAATTCATGTGGAGAAATAAAATCTATTGGGAGGCAGTAACACTTACAAGGTCGGGAGAGTCTGAAATGGTGTTCATATGCAAAGAGTTGAACCTGAATATGAATCCGAGTCAGCGGTAGAACATAGCTCTCTTCTTTCTGTGGAACATGTTAGAAGTTTAGGGTTTAGTACTTTTCTATTATCTAAATTATATACTAAGCACTTTATAATCTTCTACTGTTACAACAATATCATTTTTTGCCGATTTCAATTGTTAATGCTCACAGTGAAGATTCATCTGAAGCTATTAGTGATGGAAAGCATGCTACTTTATCTAAACGTACTCGTGATGATAATATCAGGTGAGGAATTTTCATCATCTAAGAAGTTGTGTAGTAAGTCAAGTAGCATGGATTCCACAATAAATCTTTCAGATGAATTTGTTGAGAAAGTCGATGTTGATAGTACTGTTGAAGGGTTAACAGACAAGTCGATTGCTGATGTCACATCTGGTGATAATGCAAAGATTGAGGTCAAGTTCTTGGCGGATGTTAAAGGGAGTAGCCTGGGCAAAAAAATTCCCCAAAAAAATGTTTGGAATTAAACATCGTTTCTTTAGATTAAGTAGTTTTTTCATGAATTTTTATTTGAAGATATATGCTATCATATGTCTTTATCTGTTTTGTAATCATTTTATGAATTATTTCAATTGAAGGATAATTTTTAATATCACGAACCTTCTGTCTGATTGCTATTCATTTTTAATAATAAAGCATAATCTTCCAAAGTAACCATAAAATATTACAAATATAAAACCCTGATAAAATATTTTAATAGTTCATGGAATTTTACTATTTTTGTAAAATGGTATGATCCAACGCTGGTACTCATCATCAACGTTATTAAAATCATTTGAGTAATCCAACCAAAAAAAAAGTAATAAAAGATTATTAAAATATTACTATAGAAAATTTTCACATAAACGTAAAAAATAATAGCGTTTTCTTATATCCTATTTACATGAAACGTGAATTTTCTACTTCCGGTATGGAAGGATCAAACTTAATTTCCAAAAATTCGTCATTTGAATAAATACGTATGGATTCTGTATTTTAAACAAAAAAACTTATCATATATTTCAGAAGCAGACATATAAGAAAACATTTTGGTATAACTATTCATAAAAAGTTAAAGAAGTACATAATGACATACCAAAAAAAATAATGTCATAAAAACTGAAGCTACTAATAAGTACCTACATAAGCTGCAATCTCCCAAAATCTTAACACACATATTGTTACTCGGCCTCTAGGTTTGGTTAACCAGAGTTCTTCAAATTTTACAGCATGAAAACCAAATGCTACATATTTGATATCAACAGACCTATGATAATATGAAAAATGTCAATAAACTAATTCCCAATATCTATTTTAAATAGAATTTCTATAGAAAGTGGCTCTCTCGAAATTCCGAACTGTAAATTTTATACACTTCTGCGTAATTATCCCTTGTCTATCATATTTCATGCCTCCATGTTCACTCAGTTTGGGAACTTTTACAATTACTCCAAGCAAGTCAACTATAAAAAATTAAAGACAAGACTAAATGGTTAATTTATCATATTTAAAAGACAAAATTAGACATATAAAGAATAATCTATACTATTAAAACGTACCTGTTTTAAAAGATGAATTTGATGAACTTTGAAAAAGAATACAAACGGTCTTCAGATGTTGGGGAGGAAATATGATACTCCTCAGTGATAGATATTTGATATCTACTGAATATTGCACTTGATGACGTTGATTCTTCAGTTATTCAAAAATTACGAACGAAATACCAATTTCTTTCGCAAAATTCATTATTGGTGACAGCCATAAAACCACTAGGAATCGTTGCAATAATTCTATCACCCTATCAGAAAATATATCACATTATTAAACAAAAATTGCAATTATTGTAAATAAATAAAACTTTTAAATAAACGATAATGGTAATCAATTGAAATTATCTATTAAACTACTTACATGTTCGTCAACCCAAATCATTGTTTCTTGAGAATCACATGATCTATCTTCTTCCACTAATTTCTTAATGACTTGGATGCATATGCTGCATCCTTCTGAACAATTAATTTCTGATATCCTTTCGCAGGAAGACATATTTACGATAGAATACCAAAGGATGTTATAGATAATCAGAAAGAATGTTTTATTTTTCAGAACTAGGATATATAAATGCGGTTGAACCTAACGGTCAAAAGATGGTGATGTTTTGTTATTTATTAGTGCCATTTAGAGTACCAATAATGTTGTGACAAGTTTTAAAAAAATATATTAGTTATTAGCCTATATTTATATTAGGATAATTGTGCATTATATAATTAAAGATATAAATTTTTAACGCATATTTGGACGTATAATAATGAATTATTATGTACTTCGTATAAAATATGGTAGTTTAATAACCTATTCTCCTCGACATAAAATAGCAATATTATAGTCAACTTTCTAATAATGAAAGGTTTAATAATTCCTAAGCATCTAGGTGGTTTGCCCGAACCCTGCGCGGACTGCAGAGTTTCAAAACTTTGTCGAATTGATTATGTGGTATTAAAATCATAGGGAATACTTTTTTTTTTAAATGTATAATTCATTGTCAAAGGTTCTCTGATCATGATCATGGAGTTCCTGATCAACAGATATTGCAATATATCCGATCTTTTTCAACAATCTTCGTAATCGTATAGGTAAATGTGTAGTTTGAAGTTGATTCGCTTGTAAATGTTTAATTTGGTGAGAATAATGCCTATACTTTACAGAAAAAACCACATGATTTATAAGAAACTGTAAAAGAGAGCAAATAGTTGAAAACAAATCATAAGAGCACCTAAAAAGCAACCATTATTCAAAAATGTAAAAAAAATATTATGTTGTAAACCAAATAAAATATAAACAACCATTTGAGACATACATGATAAAAATAAAGCAAACTCAAAAAAGTAAACACGATCCAAAATTAAAAACC